CTAGAGGCTGGATTAACCCTCAGTGAAACATAGCAGTTTCTCTGAAACTGCTATGTTTTCAGCTGCAGGGTTAAAACTAGAGGGACTTAATTGAGCTAAAGTGATCTGGGTGTCTGTAGTGGTCCTTTAAGTGTGTGTGCATCTGCATGCACTGGCGTACATACCGGGGTCGCAGCCCTGCGACCAGGTGCCCACCGCCATGTGTTGCGGCCCGACCCGCGTGCGGGGGGGGGCCCACGGATCAATTTTCGCAGCGGGGCCCCATGGGTCATGTGTACGCCACTGATTATGGGTGCAAGTGGAGCAATTAGAGTGGTGCATTTTTTATTTTTTTTTAATTACTTTTAGGGGGGACTTCAATTCCCTGGTGGTGCAGACTGAGTATATGCCTCTCAAGATCCAGCACTGTGTAGTGTTGGAGCATTGCTGCAGGTTAGCAGAGCTCAGGGGAGGAATACTCTGTCTGCACCCAGGCTCGTCACCACAACATAGTGTGTTGGACTGGTTGAGGGAGATCTTTGGATAGCACCAGCCCTTCATAAACCGACAGGTTGGATCCACTGATCTCCCCTGTCAACCTGGGCCTATGGTCTTCACGGCCCACCAGTCATTTGCCAATCCAGGCAGTACCTTGAAGGCAGCTATCTGTAACACTAATTACCCTCTAACCTTAAAGGAACACTCTGGACACACAGCCAGTCCACTGAAAGGTAATTACATACGAGTGTGATGTGTATCAGTGCCGAGGGTATCTGTTTCTTTCTGTAGTGTACATGCTTCAGACTTGTTCACTAAAATTGCTAACTGCCGGAAGTACAAAGAGAATTTCACATTCTACCAAAATAGCCAAACTATCAGCATAGCTGACTTGAAAATACATAGATTTGCCTAGGGTGACGAATGTAAAAAAAACTTGCACCTGCCTTGCTATTAATGGGTTTTTTTTTTTTACAGTGTTCTGTTTCACATTATATATGTATCTACACTATCTTTGCATATATTTTATCTTACTGCAAGCACTTATTTTCCATGTTAATTAACCCTCTCTTCCAAGTGCATTTATACTCGCTAGTAAGACAGTATTATACTCCTGTAGGCTATTTCCAAAATGTTTTACACATCCACTGTTTACACAAGTTCTGCTTATATTTTAACTTCGCTTGGCAACGCTGACCAGAATTTCTGCTAGTTGATTCATTTTATATGGTTTATAGCTGAGGATAAAAACAAGTGAGACAAACTCTGAAATTTACAGCTGTGCACTACCTACATATACCAAAATGACAAATACCACAAAGGTGGGCACATGCAAGGTGTAATAATTCCCAAAATAGTGTAATAAGTGTTAATATTAAAGATTGTTTTTACCATATCAAACTTGCAATGATTAATGTCAGTGTTGATATTCCAATTACTATTTATTACATGTAAAAAAAATCAAATTCATTTCATAGGATAAAATTTAAAGTATCCTGCTGCATACGATTGCACTAACTAAAACGGTTCGCACTATGTATAAGCGCAATGAGCATTTTGTGGCTGTTAATCCCTGTGTGGGTATCTTCCAAAGCCAGAATGGGACAAGAATTCAGCTCAGTTGATCCACTAAACTGAAAATAGTGAATAACTGTTAAGCAATTTGCAAATTTTAGCCAAAACTGACAAATTAAAAAAAAAAAAATTCTCCAACTTGGCTATTTTACCAGATCAGGTACTATTTAGGCCTACAATTTGCAATTTCCTTATTGACTTTGCACAATACCTGGTTTAGGAAATAAATACCTCTTTCAAGGTAGCTTGCCTTAATGGTTATATTCCATTGCTCAAATGTTTTTAGAATCCACACGTATTGTACTCCGATGTTCTGTACTGCCCAGCCCATCTGACAATTTCAATATCCTGGCCTCAAGAAAAATCATATTGTGCTTTTTCTCATATCCTGTTTGAAGACATTCCACAGATGGAGGAAACCTTCTCTGAAGATTGTACTCTTGTTAACAAAATTATTTCTATGTTTGGTCGTACACTATTGTTGCAAGTGACTTTCAAGCTGCTATGAATATCATTATGTATCTAAGGCTCAAAGGAAGGAAAACATTAATTAGGAAAAAATCTTGATAATGTGTCAATGCTTGTCTGTTGTTGCCTTTTCCCCTACAAAGTAAATTGCAGTGCGAGTTGCAAAAATAGACCCGGGCATGGATTTGTATAAGTGGGACCTATCAAGGCTTTCTGTTGGCATGTAGATGACCCGATCGAAACCTGTCTCTGTCACTGTACCCGGACCACATTCCAGTTTCTTACAGGAAATATTACTTTGCAGGAAGGATAGCGGAAGTATGGAATAATCTTCAAGGAGAAAACATGGGTTTAACACCGTAAAGGAATGCAAGAATTGTCGTGATATGCATAAAGAACAATATAGTGAAATCCTTCCGAGATTTCATCATAGACCAGCCTGAATTCTTATCTACAGCCGCAATCTGTGCTTATAGTTAGCACAGAAAATGAATTACGAAATCCTCATACTTGACATGAGATTGTCCTAACCAGGAAACTAAATCAATAATTAAACCTGCTGTTTTTAAATAAAATGAGCAAATTGGTCTATGTGCTTCCAGAAGCTTCATTACAGTTATTATAGACTAATTGAAGAGGAATTCTGAAAGTTGGCCAGTGGCATGTAAGGCATTTGAGGATTGTAATATTTGCTTTTTGCTATTTGCTTTTTGTATGGTAACTTCAAAACACATGAAGATGAAAGCTGAACAGCTTATTGTATGGTCTTCAACAAGTTCTAACTCTCTTGTTTCATTACAAAAGGAACCATTTGCCACAAGGACAGTCCAATGTTAATTTTGTCGACTAACAATTTTAGTCTACTAAATAAATATTTTAGAAATTTAGTCGACTAAAACTAAAACAATTCAGATGGCTAAAATACGACTATAACTAAAATGGCATTTTATTCAAATGTCTATGACTAAAACTAAATTGAAATTTGGCGCCAAAATTAACACTTCCCAGAGGGGCTGTGGAGGGGGCAAGAGACAGACCAGGGCTTGGGAGAGAGACACCTAGAGGAGCTGTGAGGACACAAAGAGACAGAGGCTTTATCTAAACCCTTTAGATTTTTGTCGTGTTGACTAAAATCTACTGGAGATTTAGTCGACTAAAACTGGACTGAAACCAAAACCAATTCAGATGACTAAAACAGCTTTTTAATCAAAAGAGTACGACTAAAACTAAATTGAAATTTGCTGCTAAAATTAACCCTGGGACAATTCAGAATCCACTGGCCCATTCCATACAAAGATGCAAAAACAATTTGGCCTCTCACGGACATCATTAGTAAGGTACAGCTTAGAAGCCCCTAAGCAGAGTAAACAAGGAGTGTATTTATGGATTACCCTTCTAAAATCACTGATGACTCTAAGAATATTCAAATAAACCAAGAGACATACATCGAGCCTAGATTAAATATTGCTTGTTTTTACTTTTGCTTGATCATACCCAGGCTGTCTTAAATTAGTTTCAGGTTTTGTACAAAGGGTATTTTGTTTCCCAATGGCCCACGTGGTTTGGATCAATCTCATATGAAAATGGTATAGGTTCCTTCTGCAGCACCACAATTTATCGGAAATTTGTTTGAGGACCTGGGGGGGGGGGGGGGGGGGAACCATAGGGTAAGCTATTGAGCTTTTCTTCATTTCAAGAATATCTTTTGCCTTTAGTATCACAAAACAAGATCCAGGTCTGGATTAACCTAGAATTCTTTTGCTTCTTGAAACATCTGTGGTTCTACAATTCATTTTTTAACATGCACCAAGTGCATGCTCAAAAATTCTTCAAAGCTTTATTTCGATTATATATAAATATGAAACCAATATAGTCTGAATAATAATTTGCCAAACTGAAGACACCCTTGTGTAATTCATTTGCTGTTAACTTTGTGTGTTGTGTGATTTATCAGTATTATGTAAAATTGCTCGTATTCAATCATGCTGGTGCATAAACCAAAATATAACACCCTACCCTGGCCAGATTAGACCTGCTGTTTGAAGTATCTACGGTATGGCAAAACTACATTTGTAACATTTTTATTTTGCCACCAGCGAAAATCTTTCGTAATAGATCCAAAAGAAGATAGTTGTGGAAATATGATTTCTCGAGTTTCTGTGCCCAAGGAGGGCTTTTCAAAGTCCAACTCAAGACATGAAGGAGATGCATAACAGTAATTTTATTTAATAACTGCATTCCTAAGGTGGGTCAAGACTGCAGCATGGAGAGGCTGTGTATTATCACCAGGTGAACTGATTGGACTGGTTAGTATTGTATAAATACATATTAACTAAGCATATTGTGATGAGGCCAAATACGACAAAACTCTCCCCATGGTGCAAATACAAAAATGTGTTATATATCACCTGCAGGGGCGGACTGAGAGCCTTTGGGGCCCCCGGGCAAAATTAGATCCCAGGCCCTTTGAAGGCCAAATATATGTGCATTAAATAAATGTTAAATATAACTCATAAAACGGCATTCCTTTGGATGTGTATATTGCGAAGACCTGTGTATCAATGCATGTTTGTATTTGAGTCTGTGTGAATGCACTTGTGCATGTATGGATGACTACATGTGCTTTTTTGTATATAGTGTCTGTGTGAATGCATATGTGACAGGTGACAGAGTGTTTGAGGGAGAAGGTGACAGGTGGAAGAGTGTGGGAGGTTGTGACAGGTGGCAGAGTGAGGGGGTACCTGATGGCAGAGTGAGGGAGGGAGGGGTTGAGTGGTGGCAGAGTGAGGGGGAGACACAGTGAGTGGGGGTGACTAGTGACAGAGGGATGGAGAGGGGGTGACTAGTGACAGTTAGGGAATGGGTGACTAGTGGCAGAGTGAGGGAGGAAAGAGATGACTAGTGGCAAAGTGAGGGAGGGAAGAGGTGACTAGTGGCAAAGTGAGGGAGGGAAGAGGTGACTGGTGACAGAGTGAGGGGATGACTGGTGACAGAGTGAGGGGATGACTGGTGACAGAGTGAGGGAGTGACTAGTGACAGATGGAGGTAGTGACTAGTGACAGAGGGAGGTAGTGACTAGTGACAGAGTGAGGGAGGGGGTGACTGTCACTAGTCACCCCATCCCTCTCTCTGTCACTAGTCACTCCCTCCCTCACTCTGTCACTGTGTCACCCGCTCCCTCACTCTGTCACTAGTCAACCCCTCACCCACTCTGTCACTAATCACCCCCTCTGTCCCTAGTCACCCCCTTCCTCACTCTGTCACTAGTCACCCCATCCCTCTCTCTGTCACTAGTCACCCCATCCCTCTCTCTGTCACTAGTCTCTCCCTCCCTAACTCTGTCACTGTGAAGGAAGGGGTGACTGGTGACAGAGTGAGGGGATGACTGGTGACAGAGTGAGGGAAGGGATGACTAGTGGCAGAGTGAGGGAAGGAAGGGATGACTGGTGACAGAGTGAGGGAATGACTGGTGACAGAGTGAGAGAGGGGGTGACTAGTGACAGAGTGGGTGACTAGTGACAGAGTGAGAGAGGGGGTGACTAGTGACAGAGTGAGGGAGGGAGTGGGTGACTAGTGAGAGTGAGGAAGGGGGTGACACAGTGAAAGAGTGAGGAAGGGGGTGACACAGTGACAGTGAGGGAGGGGGTGACTGTCACTAGTCACCCGATCCCTCCCTCTGTCACTAATCACCACCTCCCTCACTCTGTCACTAGTCACCCCTTCCCTCCCTCTCTCTGTCACTAGTCACCCCCTCCCTCTCTCTGTCACTAGTCACCCCCACCCTCACTCTGTCACTAATCACGCCCTCCCTCACTCTGTCACTAGTCACACACTCCCTCACTCTGTCACTAGTCACCACCTCCGTCCCTTACTCTGTTACCAGTCACCCCCTCCCTCACTCGGTCACCAGTCATCCCCTCCCTTTGTCACCAGTCATCCGCTCACTCTGTCACCAGTCACCCCTTCCTTCCCTCACTCTGCCACAGTCAGTGAGTGACTAGTGACAGAGTGAGGGAGAGGGTGATTAGTGACAGAGTGAGGTAGTGATTAGTGACAGAGTGAGGGAGGGGTGACTAGTGACAGAGTGAGGGAGGGGTGACTAGTGACAGGGGAGGGTGACTAGTGAAGGAGGGTGTGACTAGTGACAGAATGAGGGAGGGGGTGATGGTCACTAGTCACCTCATCCCTCCCTCTGTCACTAGTCACCCCCTCCCGCACTCTGTCACTAGTCACTCCCTCCCGCACTCTGTCACTGTGTCACCCCATCCCTCCCTCTCTCACCCCATCCCTCCCTCTGTCACTGTGTCACCCCATCCCTCCCTCTGTCACTCATCCCCTCCTTCACTCTGTCACCAGTCACCCCCTCCCTCTGTCACTAGTCACCCTCTCCCTCACTCTGTCACTAGAGTGAGTGGGTGACTAGTGACAGAGTGAGGGAGGGGATGATCAGTGACAGAGGGAGGGGGTGACTAGTGACAGAGTGAGGGAGGGGGTGACTAGTCACAGAGTGAGGGAGGGAAGGGGTGACAGAGTGAGTGAGGGAAGGGGTGACTAGTGACAGAGTGAGGGAGGGGGTAAGTAGTGACACAGTGGGGGGTGACTAGTGACACAGTGGGGGGGGTGCCTAGCTGGCACAGTGGGGGGATGCTTATGACACAGGTGGGGGTGCCAGTGACACAGTGGGGGTGCTTAGTGACATGGGGGTGACCAGTACACAGTGGGGTGACCAGTGGGGGGTGGACACAGTGGGGGTTGACTGACAGTGAGGGGTGACTAGTGACAGTGGGGGGGTGACTAGTGACAGTAGGTGACTAGTGACAGTGGGGGGGGTGACTAGTGACAGTTGATTAGTGACAGTGGGGGGGTGACTAGTGACAGTGGGGGGTGATTAGTGACAGTGGGGGTGACTAGTGACAGTGAGGGGAGGTGACTAGTGACAGTGGGAGGGTGACAGTGGGGGGTGACAGTGAGGTGACAGTGGGGAGTGACAGTGGGGGGGAGACTGAGGGTGACTAGGTGGGGGTGACTAGTGACAGTGGGGGAGGGTGACTAGAGCCTACCTGTCTATCTGCTTCCTCTTCTGGTCTCCCAGGCTGCTGCTCCTTCCCCTAGTGGCTCTGTGTGAGAGGAGTAAACTGGAAGTGATGTCACTTCCTGGCCCCGCCTCTCCCATCACACAGAGCACCGCGGGACAGGGAGAAGGAGACCTGGCAGAGACCTGGAGAAGCTGCCAGGTCTCATGGAAGGGAGGGGGGAGGGGGGGTGGTTGCTGGGGCCCCGCGCTGCATCAGGGGCCCCAGCAACCCATTGAAGGAAATGATTTTTTTTTAAAAATTTTGCCGTTCCAGTTGGAGAGATCTCAGATCTCTCCAGCTGGAGCATGGCTGTGCGGCCGGGCCCCTGACTGCCTCGGGCCCTCGGTCCATGACCGAAGTGCCCGAGTGGTCAGTCCGCCCCTGATCACCTGCATATCTCAAGCCGGACTTTGAGAGGTATTTCCTTGGCAGAAAAACTCATGTTTACACAACTATCCCAGAGTTCCCAGCTTGATATGCAAATCTGTACAGACAGGCATTGTGTTTCAGAGGTCATACAACATTTCTGCTGATACACTTAACAGAGATGCAGATACACAGATAAAAAAACCACAAAAAAAAACAAAGCATTGGCCAAAAGTATATAGTTGTAGAAACATGATTTCTCCAGTTTCTACTCCCACAAAGGGCTTCTTAAAGTCGGGTATGCAGGTGATGCATGTCAGTACATTTTTGTACATATTAACCCATGTAATTAAAAGTTAATATTAGTCAGCATAGTTATGGTTCTGTTCCAATGGGAAACAATTACATTGTCCTCATAAAGCATCCCGGGCTTTAAAACACATATGCATATACTGGGCAACCACACATATGCATATTTTTCCTTTTAGATATATGATCATTTACACTTTCATTTTGCTATGGTATTAAAGGACCACTATAGTGCCAGGAAAACAGATTCGTTTTCCTGGCACTATAGTGCTCTGAGGGTGCCTCCACCCTCAGGGTCCTCCTCCCGCCAGGCTGGATGGAGAGGAAGGGGTTAAACTAACCACTTTCTCCAGCGCCGGGCGGGGAGATCTCCTCTCCTCCCTCTTCTTCCGTCACCGGCTGAATGCACACGCGCGGCTTCAGCCAGTCCATAGGAAAGCATTCTCAATGCTTTCCTATGGACACTGGCGTCTTCTCACTGTGAAAATCACAGTGAAATGCGCGGAAGCCCTCTTGCGGCTGTCTCATTGACAGCCACTAGAGGCTGGATTAACCCTAATATAAACATAGCAGTTTCTTTGAAACTGCTATGTTTATTAAAAAAAGGGTTAAACCTAGCTGGACCTAGCACCCAGACCACTTCAATAAGTTGAAGTGGTCTGGGTGCCTATAGTGGTCCTTTAATGCATTTTCCTGTGGAGTGAGAGAGGGTGAGATGTAATTCTCGATTACCATTCTCCAAATCACAGAGCAAACAACAGAGAACTGAAATTACTTGATAAAGATAGGGGCGCCTGAGGATTCTATGCAATGCAGCCTGACATGTACATCTGGATGATATATTACAGGATAACATACCGCCACCCCCAATTGTCTCAGACAGTTCCAATTTGGGATCCCTGGTAAATACACCCCAGTAAACACAACTGGGGTGCATTGTTGACTTTGGGTATTCTGCACATTCTATCGTTTCATGCACTACATGGAAAGATTTGGGCATTTTAATATGTCTTTCATATGTACAGCACATTGTGTTGCAAGAAATATGTATGTAAAGTATGAGACACTTTTAGACATTCATTGCCACAAAAAGGCCAGCGGTTTAACCCCTTAAGGATACATGACATGTGTGACATGCCATGATTCCTTTTTATTCCAGAAGTTTGAAGGCAAATTAACCCATAATTAAGAGAAAACACAAAAGGAAATCCAGTCTGCTATAAAATCCAACCATTCCACAACAAAAAGTGTGAAAATGGGCAGATGTTTTGCATATATTTTTCAACATGTGTAAATTTACTCTTTTGTATAACTTTAATTTAAAGTGACACATTACTATTTTTTAAACAGTAATCACTAGAATTTGTTGCCAGTGTCAAGTCTAACCCTAATATTAATATTAATTTTAACACTTTAAATTTCGTAAAGAGTCCTCTAACCCTAATTTCACAAAGCGACCCACTACAACCCCTTATGCATGTAATTTCGCTAGAGACCAACTATCTTATCTCTACGAGCTACTAACCTTAGCACAACTGCTGCAATACTGCCTTAAACACACTAAACGCCACCATAACTCGTACAGCTACCACATGGCTGATGCTCTGCAGTTGCTGAATGCTACATCTATAAACTGAAAGACAAAAATCCTAAAACCAAATCATAGGCCGACACATCAACATATCCTAGCCATTTGGTCCCACGGACAGTCTGCAATTCTATTTCAAGAAAAAAACAAAACACTGGTGTGAATATGGCCTACGCCACTTCAGTAACACACTCTTGCTACATTGTTCACCACCTCATTCAGCAGTGGAACAGCTTGTGTTCGTACATTGTTCCCTGGACCCCCTCGGTGATGGAGGACCTTCTATGAGCTGCTCTGTTAATCCTCCGTCCCTCTCTTTCTGAAGCTTGCAATGCATTGATATGTTAATTCCCCTTTAACACATTCATCACACACAGTTAGAAATTGCATTGTTGGAACTATGAGTTTGTGCGTGTTCCAGAACATATTATAAATGTGACACAGCGGTACTATGAGTGATTAGAGCACAAAGCACACTCTTACTTATTTCATATACTATGGGACCGCTCACAGTATATCGAAAAGCAATTTTCTGCAGTCCCCTCTGGTATTAAACGATTCATCATAAACCGTCAAGGAAAAAATGCTTCAGCAATGTATCATCAAACTCCTTACAAAGTGACAGGATGCAGGGCCTGTTTTCGTGTTAACCTTTTGGATGCTGAGAAGCCTAATCCCCCCTCTGCCCAAAGGCATTGCAAAATTAGCAAAGTGCCTACAGTGAAAATCTCTCTCTTTTTGTGGTGTGTATGTGTGTGTGCTATTTGCCTTTCCCAGTCACTGTTGACTGAGCTAGATCCAGCTCTTTAGAGTATGAAAATCTGTAGGTTTCGAGACAGCAGGGAATCAATCTGTCAGTGAAATTAAAGTTATTTGTCCTCGTTAATTTGCAGTAAAAAAAAAAAAAAATAGCCTGCATCTTTTTTAGGGCCTGCCACAGGGCTGGCCACTCCCTTAGGATTTTAGGGGGCAGGAGGGAATAAGGGTTACTATGTTAGAAGAGTCTATTTGTTGTGTTTATAATACTGAGTGTGGTTTTGCTGCTTTGGAACATTTCATAATATACTGGGTGTTCTATTGGACCAGAATTTGAAACATAGAACAACTTGTTCAATGCCAAACCCAAGGCAATAAATAACCAAGTCCATGTGTGCAGATGCTTTTCACATTGTATTTATGTGAAGATGATGCTCTATAACAGTGGTGTTACTAAAATTCTGGAAAAGTATATTCCTGGAACATGTAATGTCATAATTCAAAATGGAGATTTTTTGTATCCTGTTTTATACATTTAATCCCGTCCTATATTATTAATTCATAGTCCATGTAATCATAGAAACACTAACCCAGGGCAGGGCTTCTTCCTATTCTCTCATTCAATGTGGCAGGTGAATGTTGAATTTCACTGCTGCCTGCCCAGAATAAGTAGCCATACCATGTTTGACAACTTACCTGGGTCCTCACACAGGACTGTATTTACATCATGAGCATCTATAGGCACAGAATTCTCAAGCGCACCCCATTCCAAACTAATACAAAAAAACTTGATTGTTTAAATATATACACACAAATAGAGAGTGAGTGCATGTGTGTGTGTAAATGTCTAAATGCGTGTACATGTGCTGAGTTGTCCACTCTGGCCCCAGAACTCGTCCCCTCTAGGAGATCACTGTATTCAGTCTGAGGGGGCGGGGCCAAGCACAGATTACTGTATTCAGTCTGAGAGGGCGGAGCCAAGCACAGATCACTGTATTCCGTCTGAGGGGGCGGGCCATACACAGATCTCTGTGTTCAGTCTGAGGGGGCGGGCCCATGCACAGATCCCTGTGTTCAGTCTTAGGGGGTGGGGCCATGCACAGATCACTGTATTCCGTCTGAGGGGGCGGGGCCATGCACAGATCCCTGTGTTCAGTCTGAGGGGGCGGGGCCATGCAGATCCCTGTGTTCAGTCTGAGGGGGCGGGGCCATGCACAGATCACTGTATTCCGTCATGCACATGTAGGCATGTTTTTGTTTTTTTCATGGCGACTGTTGGCTGCCTACCGGACACTGGCCGCCCTCTCGCTATGCATGAGGACATCCAGTGCAACCCAAAACCCCATAGTAAAGTCCTAATGTGAGCGCGGCCATTGCTGCCCATGCGCAGTAGTTTTCCCCCGCTGGCTGACGTTGGCGGAGCCTGAACCAACGCCGAGGGACATCGGCGCAGGAATCAGGTAAGTCATAGAAGGGGTTTATAACACTGGGGCGGGGGGTGCTGTTGCAGAGGGGAACACTATAGACTATAGGGAGCTATTGTGCCAGGAAAACAACATTGTTTTTCTAGTACAGTGCTAAAGTCTCCCTTTAGTATAAAATTAATCCAATGAACATGCATTGTAAGAATTTGAATAATTTACCTAATGGAAATCAAGTAGGCAGCTCTGAATGGGCCGTTAAAAATGGAGAAAGACATGTAACACCAGCCGAGAACATCCTGACGAGGTATACGTGCGAAATGCGTAGACGTGAAGTGGTGACGTCACAGGAGTGGGCGGAGCCGGGGAGCCACAAGATACGAAGCAACAATTGCTGAAACTGCACTTTTGCCATATCTTGAATGTGCGATTTGTAAGTAGTGGCATGTGGTGGCATTTTACTCCCACATTTTATCTGTAAGAGGCAATTTTATTTATTCTTTTATAAATAAATGTTTTTTTGCCATCATTGAAAGTTGAATTATTGGATAAGTGCATTTGGAGGGGATTGGTGACTAACTATTTGAGTCACAAACTATATACACTACAGCTGGTATAAAAGCTCTAGTTAATGTGTGTACAACCACCGAAGTCCATTGATTATTTTTTATTTACTGAAAAAAACATCTGCACTATATGTTCTTCGATTTTATTTTTCACATGTACACATTGTGGAACATGGATTACATCCTGTAAAGATATTACAAGACAATATAAGTATTGATTTATCCTTTATTACATACACAAAAATTCCAAAATATTTCTCCATCTTTCTGTAACGATTTATCTGTTTGTTGCCTGTGGGTTAACTGCACTAAGGTGCTTATTTTTATAATCTACAAAGTGTCAGCGCTTCAAGTAGTTTTCCCCTTAGTAAAAAGGAAAAAATATATCACAATATGATATTGTATTTTTATAAGATTCTACTAGCACAAAGGTACTCTTAAATGGGAAGTATTAAAATAAACTCTCTTCTTTCCTCTTGTTTTCTTTTTTTTTTTTATATGTTTTTCTTAAAGGGTCCTTTTTTTTTGTTTTACAAAAAGTGTAGATTTCAATAAAAATTTACTCTTTTATAATTTAAAATGGTTACACCCCCTTGGCCTTCTAGCAGACCAAAGGTAATGTTACTTCCTGGTTTTGTTAGCTCAGGGGAGAACTGCAGTTTTTGCAAGCTTTTTTTAGATGTAACTCCAATGATAAAATATGCAATTAAATGCATGCAAGTTCTCATTTGGGGTATATCTACTAAACAGTGATTTTTATTTATATTGTATTTGGGCAGTGCAGTGTCCCTGTAATAAGCGCCTTTTACAAGTATTTAGTTTTATGTATTTACAGAATATATAATATTATAAGACTAAAGGTTAATTTACCTAAATATACAAATAACACTTAGAAGCGGAAAGTTTACCTCTGTAATCCACGTCCCCGATCTTAGTATTCAGGAACTAGGATAAGGAATCTTAAGAGAAAATAAAACAACATTAAAGATCTCTGAGGCATTCCCTTGTATTAACATAAGATTCTAAACTATATAGTAAATTAATAAAAATAAGTATTCTTTTACTTTTAAATACAAACAGGGATATTCCCAGTCAGTCACTATGTTACATTCATTTTCCATTGAATGCATGATCACACAACAAAGCAGTTATATAAGCAGTAGTTAAAAATAAAGTCTTGTTTCTTAATGATTAAAGCGTTTCATGAATTGATGTTAAATTTGCAATTTCAATTTTGAAAGGTCATGCAATTGTGTTACTTTAATTTGGTCATGTACGCGTGTTATTTAGAGAACACCAGTTTGTATCACATACTCAATAAATAAGGGAATAAGAAATATTTCAAAAATATTATATTATTGTTTGCAGAGTGGGCGTATTAGTTTAATATATAGTTAAATGTCTAATACATAGAGAAAGAAGGATAGAGAAACATTAAATAAATTATTTAAGTATACCAATTCTGTCTAATTTTTATTTTTTTCTTAATTTTCAATTATCAACAGCAGCCTATGTATATGATGTTCATGGAACTTGAAAATCACAATAAAGACCCTAAAAGTATATTAATATTTAATTATGAGACAGATGAGCAGTTCAGTCAATGTCCCAGCAGGGGTTTATTTTAGTCTGGCTAAGGCCCTGTGGTCATCCCTCCAAGGCGTCTCTGTTTACAAAGTTCACGATCACATTTAGAAGGTTCGATAGTGCTGTGAAAAGCTGAATATTTTAAAATATATTAATCGGTAAAACAAGCAACTCGGATTACTGAATTATATGTTACGGGCATTATATGTTCCATCGTAGAGTAATATAATTTTGCATCTGGCATCATCAGCTGTGTAGAGACACAAGGATATATGTGTATGTGTGTGTTTATGTGTGTACTCATGGATGTGTGTGTCTTAGTATAGGATTGGTTAGATATAGATGTGTGTGAGTGGATAGTTATGTATGTATTTTAGCGTTTGTGTAGTTAATAAGTAGCAATTTTCTGTGATTGTCTAGTTATGTAAGTGCAAGTGGCTAGTTCTAAGTGTGAATTCGTGTATGATAATCTGATTATTTATGGATTTATCAGTAAATATTGCTGATTAGATCTGCTTGTGATTCCCTTCCACAGACATTCACAGTACAGCATTCCCCCACACCGGTATACACTACTGAAGCACTTGCTGACCTCACATTTGAAATGTACACTTGATTATTTGCTAAAGTGAGAATTTCAACTGAACGCAAAGCCGAATTAGAGAATGCTTCCAGTTCGGCTAATTTGACCTTAACTTTACTTTAGTAAATAAGCCTGTTAGTGGTTTTTACTCACAATTAATTATATAAATAAAATAATTATATAAACGAGAGAGCATCCAAATAAAAATAAGAATATCCTGTGGGGATATCTGAAGCAGCGGGTGTACATGAACAAACCGCGTACATGTGAGCAGCTCAAGGAAAATATCCATGCAGAAATTCGAGCGTAGAGCAAACCCTACTCTGAAATTTGGCCCACCTGGTATATGCAAAACACAATAACAACATGTAGCTCATTTTTACAATTTTTTTTTTTTTCAACCATGGCTGGTTTGTACTTGCGTCCCTGAAAGCCTTATGTAGATATAGTATATTTATTGAAACATTCCCCCCAATTTTGAATACAAGAGTGCAGGAATATCTTTAAGTGCATCAAGTCTGATTATAACTCCTGTAGAGCTTGATTTTCTCACACTACCAGCTTACACAAGATCCTTCGTAAATCCTTGTTGAGTTGTGGTAAGTCTGATGACTGACATATGCGTATATATCATCTGACAATATCTTGTATCCTTGCTTGGCCCATACAAGCTCTTTGGGAAAAATAACAGAAAAAGAAGAAAAAAATGATGATTACCTTCAGGGGAATTTTTCCTACAAACATCAAATAATGACAGCTGTAATCACCAAAGTAACTGTGGATCTCTAAGGGTGAACGCGATCATCTTTAAGTGGTGCTTTAAGCACCATAAACACAACAGCTCATTGTAGTTGCTATGATATCATATGTGTATGACATCCCTAATCTCACATTTTTAATACTAAATTCACCCAAAGCATTTACATAAAAATAATTCCAAGATGGTTGGTAAAATTGCCACCACATATGTATGGGACACAAAGCAAGCTATAACCGAAAGATAGCTTTAAGTTAAAACATAAAATGCTGTAGTGCCAGTCTAGATGTTGAGTAATGACAGTTCACCTTACAGATATCCTCTTCAAGCCAAGTTGCTTTTTAAAGGGACACTATGGTCACCCAGACCACTTCAGCTCAATGAAGAGGTCTGGGTGCCAGGTCCCCCAGGTTTTTACCCTTCACATGTAAACATAGCAGTTTCACATACACTGCTATGTTTACATTGCAGAGTAATCCAACCTCTACTGGCTGTCTTCCTGACCACCGCTAGAGGCGCTTCTGCGACGCTGGATGCGAAATCCGCATGCGCATTCCGCTCCACTTTGGGAGCTGACATCGGCGGGGGAGGAGAAGTCACCAGCGCCGAGTGAGCCGGCGCTGGATGAAGGTAAGTGGCTGAAGGAGTTTTAATCCCTTCAGCGCCAAGGGAGGGGGACCCTAAGGGTGGGGGGTCTTAAGGATGACATAGTGTCAGGAAAACGAGTTTGTTTTCCTGACACTATAGTGATCCTTTAAGGAACAAGTGCTATGACATTTGGTAACAAAATTAATTTGTGCCAAAATCCCTCAAATATGTCTTAAATGATCAATCTAGACTCCACTCTGTCCTATAACAATTTAATGTTAACTTTACCTTATGAAGTTAAACAGTTTTCAAACCGATTAAACCATTCAGATGTATCCCTGGGCCCCACTCATGCTACCCCCTCAGCCGCACATATAGGTAATTGGCTGAGAGTATCAGCCAATACTACCAGCCAGCCAGTAGAGGCCCTTTAACAAATTCTTTCTATTTTGTTATGATAATTTGTTCCGTCAGAGCCAAAACACAACCGTAAGGACATATTACTCTCATCACAAGGGAATTTGTTCTACAGTGTAGCAAAGAAATAACGTATTTTTTTTTTTACATTATATGCTGAATATTGAGCTGGCGGAAGGAAATTAATATATGAACCAATTAAAAGTAATATATTATTATTATTATGTGAAATCTTCTACTATGTTTGCTATATAAGATTTAAAAATGGGGTCTGAAAAAAAAAAAGTTAGAATATTTTGCTAATTAGCACTAGACAGTCAATATCAATGTAATAATGATGAATATAATGTCACTTACTATTATTATTTTATTATTTATATGTGATGAATAATGATGAAAAATGCATACAGTACACATTAATTGCACAAAATTGTATGTTAAAAGAACATATTAGCATGTATTTGGTGATAAGCCGTCTCGCTAACACTAACATAGTTTTAATTAGATAATACATTTGAACAGTTATGAAATTTGCTAACTTCCTATTTCATTAGTACATTGATAGTGGTACTAGAAGCAGAAAAAGATTAATTTGTTAACCTCTAGGGTATTTTGGAGTTTATTAGAACTAATTCCCTTTGTATTATTTAGCAACTGTTTCTCAACAGAGACCCATACGACTGCCAGCTGTTTTAAATCCCCAAGGGAAATATCTGAGCGTTCGTTTTTCAAAGTTTTTCTTTTACTTTGAGACCACAACATACCTGGCGACAGAACAGACACCTCCATAAACATATCGCCTTGACAAATAAGTAATCTTTTCCTTCGTATTACAGAATTGTAAGGAAAATAACATTTGGCAGACCTGTTCATTTAATTAGGCCACATAGATATAGAGGAAGGGTTACTGCAGTACCCAAAAAATCTAAATTAAATAGCCTATTAAATCTGTGCTGTTAGCCCCGCACCTTGTTGCTCAAAGCAGAGTTCAATGTAAGTCCAGATAAAGAAATCTAAATAGTGCAATGTGCGCAGGGAGTGCTGCATTCAGTTTATTTGAAGGTCCCAAAGGGTTTTCCCTTTGTCAAAAAGTTTTTTGAGTATTTTGTTGTTACCGTTATCTGTTTTTTTTTCTTTTTTAAAGAATATGTAAAATAAACGTATTAATGCAGACTAAACTGGATCGTGCATTGAGTATCCATACTAAAAATTAGAAGACATGCAGCCATTTTTAGAAATAAACACTATTAAAATGTTCAAACTGTGCAATTTCTCCGTTTAGTGGAATTTATTAAATTGGTTTGAAAATAAAATTAATTTGTTAATATGAGCATCTTCCTACATAACACCTAATAAATTATTCCAAATCATAAACTTACCATAAACCACAGTGCCAGGTCTTAGTATAACATATCCGGATGAGTTGGACCTACCACCCTCAAAAATATAAAAAGGAACTGATTTGCCTTTTGACTTTTCTGAAATATACATAACCCTTACTGAAAATGCATTCTAAAAAATGACTAATGCTTGTCTCTGTACCAGGCAAACATTGCAGCTGTTTTGGCAACCAACAGGAATCGCACTGACATCAGCATTGTTAAAGATGTACACTTGTAAAGATAAGTACATAACTTAGCTTAATTCTAAAGTTGATGGTACAGGGAAACCCTTGCCCCCATTCTCAGCTTAGAACTGTAGTGCTCTGTATAACATTGCTTCAGCATCTCAGAGGTGTAAATAGGGTAATCGACATCTTCAGTTCCAGCTGGCGGATTCAGTATTGTCCAAGTTGTGTTGCGTTTCCTCTCCTGGACGCAGGGAAAGCCAATCTGTGGATCAAGACTCAGCTGTTTGCTGCACACAGCCAAGTTCACTAAAAGGGGGACTTCACCCTTCTGATATATAGGAGGGCATGCTGGCTCCCATATATATATATATATATATATATATTTTTTTTTTTCTCTAGCTGCCATATTCATGAACGAAACACTCCAAGCACCATAACCACTGAATGTAATGGTTGAATGTGTGCACTGGCACCCTGCCCGACGTACCCTTTGTTTTTGTTCTCTTACATGTACTCCACAGCAAACTTTTAACCAAGTAACGTGTGGTAAGTTTTGGATTTGTTTTACACCACCTTAACATTTCTTATGATTGTTTTGTGGATAAGAGGATATCTCCACACAAGTGTATAGAGCTGCTTTCATTTTACTATATTCACGTCTTGGCACTTATTGTCACACATATCCCTTTGTTCAAGAGGGACACTTTGGATGAGGAGTCAAACCATTTGGTAACAGTTTGAATTCATAACAGGGGTCTGTCTGGCACTGCTGCACACCTACTTTATTCTGGAAGGAGAGCCTGAAGCTCCAATCAGAAGCCTTTATTAGTTCTCTTGAACTAAGCCCTGCAGTGCCAGCTCCCTGGCTGAGAGCATCGCTCAATGAAGACAGCTTCAGGAGCAGAGCAGGTTCAGAGTGGTGCCCAACATACCCCAGGTAAGAAGTCAAACTAGTAATAAATGCTTTGACTCCTCACACTGGGGGAGCACTGGGGCACTCTGGCACCATAACCACTACAGCACTCTGTAGTGATTATGCTGCTTGGCAACTCTCAAACCACTGTGATTTTTTTTTTTTACCCTTTGCCCACTGCCTGCTGCTCGTATTAGAACAGGTAAATAATTTGGATATTCAGCATCCAGGTTTCAGTCATTCGGTAGTATCCAGGCAGGTTGAAATCATGTGGACTTCCATGTTCTCTAGGATGGTAAATAGGTATCAGTAGATGTATTTGGGGTGACAGTAGATGTATTTGGGGTGTCAGTAGGTGTATTTGGGGTGACAGTGTATAGTTTTAGGGTGTCAGGATATAGTTTTGGGGTGACAGTGTATAGTTTTAGGGTGACAGTAGATGTATTTGGGGTGTCAGTAGGTGTATTTGGGGTGTCAGTGTATAGTTTTAGGGTGTCAGTATATAGTTTTGGGGTGACAGTGTATAGTTTTAGGGTGACAGTAGATGTATTTGGGGTGTCAGTGTATAGTTTTAGGGTGTCAGTGTATAGTATTAGGATGTCAGTGTATAGTTTTGGGGTGACAGTGTATAGTTTTAGGGTGTCAGGATATAGTTTTGGGGTGACAGTGTATAGTTTTAGGGTGACAGTAGATGTATTTGGGGTGTCAGTAGGTGTATTTGGGGTGTCAGTGTATAGTTTTAGGGTGTCAGTATATAGTTTTGGGGTGACAGTGTATAGTTTTAGGGTGACAGTAGATGTATTTGGGGTGTCAGTGTATAGTATTAGGGTGTCAGTGTATAGTTTTGGGGTGTCAGTGTATAGTTTTAGGGTGCGGGGTGTCAGTCTGGAAGCAGTCTGGGAGAGCACTACCTCCCTGTGAACTAATGACCAGTCTCCCTGACACCGTCTGACTGACTGACTGAGGGATTCCCTGACACACAAGCCCCTCCCACAGCCTACGTCACGCAGCCCGCCTGTTAACCCTCTGCCAGGCGGAGTGGGCGGGGCTATCCCATGTTCCCAGTGTGTCCTGCAGCAGGCGGAGAGTTAACCTGAAGGGCGGGGTCTGGGTGGCCAGGCCGCGCTGTGATTGGTCCGCCGTGGCACGCCCCCTCCCCAGTCTCGGCCGATGCTCAGTCCGTGCTGCCCGGGCACTGAGTGACATGATGTCCGCTCCGCGCGCTGCCTGGCTGGCCTGAGCTCGGACCGCGTTCCCGCCTCCCCCCCCCCGGGTACCTCAGCTCACCGTGTCCGCTTCCCCCGCCCCCCCCATGCCGCCCCCTCCTCCCCCCGTGGCGGCATTCCCCCTCCCCAATGCGGGCTCCCCAGGCGGCCTCGCTCCTCCTTTGTAATCCGCACAGGGAATCATGGCGACCCGCCGGACAGCTCCACCGGACCAGGACGGCGAGAGGGAGCCGCCCGCCAGCCCTGGCTGTGAGGTGAGCCCTGAGAGAGAGAGAGAGAGAGAGAGAGAGGGGGGGGAGGGAGGTGAGCTGGCACAGCCTGGCACTGCCTGGCACGGGCTCTCCTGGGAATGGCCACAGAACTACAACTCCCAGCATGCTCCGCTATCGGCAAGGCTTGGCGGCGTCATGGGAGTTGTAGTTCTGTGGCAGAATCACTGCCTGGATCTCACTGCGTGGCTGGCTGGTACCTCTGGTGCTGTTTGGTTACTGTGTGGGTCTCACTGCGTGGCTGGCCGGTACCTCTGGTGCTGTTTGGTTACTGTGTGGATCTCACTGCGTGGCTGGCCGGTA